TAAGTCCATTTTCATACACCCTCCCCCAAAGGATAAATGTAAAACTTTAGTCTTTTTATTTCTGCTGGGAAAGAGAAACAGGAGATGGCGGAAACACTCAAGCGGTAATCAAAAGGCCCAGGAGTTCCACCGGAGGTTCTCAAACAACGGGAATGGCGGTTCGATGCAAGGACTCAGGCTCTGCGGTGCTATGAATTACACTGCCACGCTAGCCATGTCCAGTATCCTCTAGGATCACAACCAGCAATACTCGGGGCCTCCAGGGATGTACCTGGTGATGCTCAGGGGACCACATGATGCCAGGGGTTGAATCTTTATTGGAGGCACATGCGAGGCAGGTGTCATAATTGCTGTACTAACTCCCAGCCCTATCACTCACTTTTAATCCTTCCAATTCTGAGATCTTGCTCAGTTTTTAACAGTCAAAGACATGGCAAGACATCTCATTTTGCATAATGGAACAAGTTTATTAGCCTTAACCAAATGCCACTGATACGAACAATACACAAAGATCTTACAAATTCCAAAGGCTTAACTAAAATGTCCTTAAGTTTACTAGAGCACTCATAAAATTCCCACTTTAGGACAGTGGTCTGTAACCACCAGTCAGTGGACTAGCACCAATCCATAGGTGTAGAAAGGTTCAAGAAAGTTTAAATGGACTGCGCCGTTTCTAACTGCCAGTTCATGGACACAGCTCTACGATCCAAACAAAGCTTTTAAAACATCTACATCTAAACCTGCCTCACAAAATCCACCTTGTAACATTTTCCGCTTTGCTCCCTAACCTCTACTCTTGTTCTTTGAGCGTGCCAAACTCATTCTTGCCTGAATGTATCTAGAATTTTTTCTCTCCTCTAGCCGAAAAGCCATCTATACTATCACAACATTACTTACTCTTCATTTTGTCCTTAGTTTAAAATTAGTTTCATCACTGTATCACTGTCATCCCGCTGTTCATCGATTTACTCGAGCAGGCAGCAGTAACGTCTCTATTCGTCCCCACCCCGAGATTTCAGCAGCCTCTCCTTACTCATCGCTCCCGACAATTGGAGGCTCTTTCAGGGTCAGGGGAATGAGACCCATTATAGCTACTGGTTTTGGCATATTAAAGACAGCACGGTGAGCTTGCCAGGTTCTGCCCATGCGGGTGGGATACTCTCGGTAGCTTGACAGGCTCTCCAAGAGGCATATATATATATATATGTTTCTCTCTAAGATTTGTTGCCTTCTGTATGAACTCCATCAAACATGGTGTGGTAACTATGGAAAATGGGTAAGAAGTGTCTTATGATGTGTTTCATAATTAGTTTCATAGTGGACACTATGCTGTCACTCAGAAGAATTTATTATTCCATGCTATATTTATTTCTAGTTTTCGCCCAACAAAATGTAAGAAAGGAAATGCTGGAATCTTGTATTTGGCTAATCACTGTAATAGAAGATAGGCACTTGATAAGTACCGAAATGAATAAACATGTATATATAAAAATCAAGCACAAAATTAGGAATGTATCAGGCAAAATTATACCTGAAATTTGTTCAAGAATATTAATGTGGTCAAGACCAAACCTTTGGTTACCACGTAAAGATACTGTATAATTTAAAATATGGACTCTCTGTTCATTTACAAATATCACCAGCATTTTAAAGGCAATTTAAACCTGATTGGACAGTATGGAAGTGGAATACATGTGACTCCTCTGATCTGTGTCCTTTTTATTTTTTTTTAATAACTTATTGAGTCACCATGAGAGCAGTTCCAGATCTTTGATCTATGTCCTTTTAAAGTTGTTTCTATATTCATTATTTTCTACAGCTAGACGTGCTGAGGGGCCAGGGCCAAACTCGTGAGATGCTCAGCACTGCTCTGCTCCAAAGCTGCTGTTATACACAACAGTGCTAGGGGGAGAACGGAGAAACGTGATAGTGGGGGACAGATTTAAACGGCACGCACGCTAAAAGTATGCTCCACTGGTTGAGCCCCTTTTTACGGTAAAAAAGTTAAGTCCGTTGCTCTTCTCGAATATTGATTATACCTAGTATTCATTTATACCCTTTCATTACACCTATGTGCCTTACCGTTTTTGCTATTTTAATAGATCTCTATAAAATGCATACTTGAACAGCATTCTTTCAAAAGTCCGATGACTCAAAATAGGTCAACAGATTGAGAAATGGGAGGGGAGTCAATTCTAGTAACAATTTAAGCATTCTAGGTGAATGTATGCTACATTTATGTATGTATTCACAACCTCTCTGTTCATGGGACAGAAAGAAATCATTCAAACTGTCCAGGTAACCCACAACAAAGAGAATAGGAATATATATATATATATATATATATATATATATGTGAATATATATATTTCAGCTGGCAAAACTAAATCACTGTTATTTATTATTTCAACATTTAATTTTCTGGTGCTGGGGGGATTCAACCCAGATGTCATGTGTGCAAGACATATACTTTATACCAATGAGTCACATGCCCTAGTCTCTAATTTCAATAATTTTAAATATAAAAAGCACCTCAAGAGGGCTGGTGAGAGAGTATAGTGGCTAGGGCAATTGCCATTTATATGGCCAACCCAGGTTTGAGTCCCCGAACCACACAGGGTCCAACAAGTACAGCCAGTAGTAATCCCTGAGCACAGAGCCAGGACTCTCCTGAGTAATTCAGGGCGTAGCCCAAAAATAAACTAAAAAGAATAAAATGTGTCATGAAAAAGGTGTTACCATAAAAAAATGAGTTTTGTGTAATATATATATTTGTTCCTCAAATCTCTTAAAAGGTGGCATTAACCCCATTTTATTTTTAATTTTCAAAAATTATGGGGCTGGAGAGATATAGCACAGCGGGTAGGGCGTTTGCCTTGCAGGCGGCCAACCCGGGTTCAATTCCCAGAATCCCATATGGTCCCCTGAGCACCGCCAGGAGTAGCTCCTGAGTGCAGAGCCAGGAGGAACCCCTGTGCATCGCCAGGTGTGACCCAAAAAGCAAAATAAATAAATAAAAATAAAATTTCTGAAAAAAAAAAATTTATGATTTTATAAAGTAGTTCACAATATTTGACTACATTTAATATTCAAACACCAATCCCACCACCGTTATACCTTCCCACCACCACATTTGGATGTTTCCATTCCGAACCCCAAACCCTGCCCCAAAGCAGAATCCAAATAATTTATTTTGTAGTATTTATTATAAATAAGCCACTGAAAATGCTCCAAAGATCTTTCCTTAGAGGAGTATGAGGATTGTTTTATTTCACCCAGGATTAACCCCATTTTAAATTAAGTTACATGGGCCAGAGTAAGACAGTGGACAGGACACTTGCCCTTCCATGCAGCTACCTGGGTTTGATCCTCAGCAAGCCACAGGGTCCCCATCATTACTAGGACTGATCCCTGACTGCTGAGCCAGGAGTAAGCCCTAAGCACCACAGGTTGTGGCCCAAAAAAGGGAGGGAGAAAAAGGAGGAAGAAGAAAAGGGAGCCATGGAGGGAATGAGGAGTAATCTAAGTACTTGATTTTTTTTATCTTCAGACTCTTGATTCCAGTATAATTCTAATGAGAATGCTATGTTTCCAGGATAGGAGTTCTGTATTATCCTCAAAGAGTGCTCGGTACACAGAGATAACTGAAATTTTTGCTGAATGTATCAATGGAAATTTTTCTATTACAGAAATATGCATTAAAAAGATAAAGCTAAAAAGACTAAGATCCTTACTATTATTATTAGTAGTAGTAGTATTATGGTTATAGAACCGTGTATTTTATCTACTATCACATATACTAAAGACCTGGATAACTTGGATAAAGCAGAAGTATTTCAGATGTACAAATATATATTCTATAGTCTAAATTCAATTTTACTAAAAACATCAGATTAATGGCTTTCTCCAAAATGGTCATTTATGTCTAAAAAGTTGGTACAAAATAATCTCAATCAGACAAGTAATTATTTAAAGAAAAACCAATGATGAAATTTTTTTATTTCCTAAGAGTCGGGTAGCAGATTATTTGCTTGATTCATTTAATACAGGAAAGACTTGTGACTTACTTCAAATTACAAAATATGGCTAAACTTTTTGCTGGAATTATCTTTAAGTAGACTTCAGAAATTGGTGTTCATAAAGATGGAATAGATACATATTGTAAAATATCACAAGTTGTCTTCTTTGATTCTTCTATGTATTACAATTGTGCACTTAAAATTTTATAATTAAGCAAAATTTTGACCTTTACCTTTACTTACAATTTTATTAAAGCACTGTTCTCATAAAGTACTGGTAAGATGATTTGTAATAGGAGGGCTCACTTGAGGTTTTTGAGAAGTTCAAAAAAATCAAGAAAAGCACACGCACAAAATTTCTACATACACACATCAAGGGGATAAGCTTTTTTTGCGGATATTAGGTTTAAAACAATTACAAATAAACACGTGTTCCTGAGACTTGTTTCCATATTTACACATTTCTACTCGAGGACTATGTGTTTAGTCAGTATCATTACAAAGGGAACAAACAAATGGTGATCATAAAATTCTGTTACAAGTTACAAACTTCCGGATCAGAATAGAAACAGAATAGGAACATAGTCAAAGTTAAGAATTTTAACTTTACCCAACAATTATATTTTTCTAACTCCATTTCTTTCTGACGTTTATAAATTATCACTAATAAACATAAGAATAAAAAAATTTTTATGTAACTGAAATCAACTTCACTAGTAAGGACTGAAATATTCTATCTTTAAAAGGAAAACAAATAAGGAAAACATATAGGTATTAATGTATAATTATTTTAAAAGTTTACATTAAGAATTATCCTAAAACACAACTCAAAGCCAACTATGTCATGCCATGCTATTGTCTTCCTTAATTAAAATAAAAAGCCTTAATAAGAAACACTAATTCAATGGTTGTGTGTCAAAGCATACAATCTGTCATTGTAGTGCTATATCCATGCTCTAATTTCATTAATATTAAGCTTACCTTTCCTTTTGGTCCACAGTGCTTAAAACATAAAAAAAGAAAAAAAATGTAAGAGGCAAGACCTCATTTTGAATATATAATTGTAGTCTAGTAATTAGTCAATAAGCAAATACTTAATGCGATTATATCTGCTTTTAATACATTGTATTTGTTACATGTTCTTAATCTGGTCAAAGATGTATATTGCTTTTCCAACTGTCAACAAAATTTACCACCAAATATACTTAAGAAAGAAAAAGAAGTACAAAGAAAAAGACATTTTAAAAAAAACTTTACTTAACCATCCAACATTTAAAGAGCTATTTTGTAGTAGTTATATAAAGTCTTCCAAGAAACAGTCACGATTTCCTAAAAGTGTATAGTATTTTTATAGACTCCAATTCTGCGTAGATTACTCTTCTCCAGCTAAGAAGAGTTTGTAAGACTGAAACATCTGCACCAGTCTTAGGCAGCATATTGATTGACTGGGATACATGGAAAGGCCTGGGATATAAAATCCTGGCTCTAACAAAGTCCAATGTATAAAAGCCTTCTCCAAAGTTCACACGTAATCTAAAATGTTTTTAATACCGATTGCCTAAGAGTACAATTACCAAAAAAACCTATCAGTTTAGAATAAAATTCATATTCTAAAACTATTAATGAAAAAAATATTCAGAACAATAAGCAGATCATAATTTATAAAATCCCAAGATTCATACTGAAACATGCCCTTTCACATGCAATACCCAAGAAAATATCCTAGCAAAGCTTTTAATGATCACTTGGTTTCATACAAATAATACTAGAAACTTTTAAAAAATTTTTCAAAAGTAATGAACATGACGGACTTAAACAAATACTATATTTGAAACTTTACCTTTGCTATTAGAAAAATAAGAATCTAGGGACCGTATTGCGATTTTCAAGAAAAAAAGAAAACAAAAATAGAATCTAAAGAATTGATGCTGAATAAATGGTAAAATTTAGTATTACATTGAAATTAAAATGTAACATGAAAGATTAAATGTAGTCTTTTACAAAATATTTATTTCTGGGAAATGTAAAATGAAAACTAAAAACAATGCATCAGAACATAAATACAGTAATTTCCAGCTCTGTATCATTGTAACCCAAAAGTGAAGTTTAGTACTCTTGTTTGTGTTTTGTTTTTGTAAACTCACCTGTACAGAGTAAAGAAAATGGTGGAAGACAGACTAACAGAAGAAACAGATTTGGTGTTCTCTAACAAACCAAGGGAATTAGAGAGAAAACAAAACAAACACAAACATCTACACATAAGAATACACAAATACACGTCTGTACTCATGCTTATTTTTCTTACCATCATAAAAAGATTCATTATGACAAACCTAATTTACAAGTCATGGCACTTTCTTTAGATTCTTCTATATTAATTTATACTGAATTCTCCCCAAGAAAAGCTTGCATTTTTTCTTTTAAAGCTTAAAAACTGGGAGGTAAACTATTATTAGATTAGTAATGTAGAACTTTGTAAAACTGTAAACTTATATTCTTGTTGAACTATTTCATTCTTGAACTAGTGCTATACTAAACTTCTTTTTAAAAATTTAAAAATTTAAAGGAAGTAAAAAAGATTGATTCTGGTATCCATGAACTGACTTAGGCCTTGAAAAATTGTTTCAAAGTGGTGCTTTTCACTAATAATTAAACCTTGGTTACTCCAGGAGCCCATTTTTGAATTTATGGATTACATAAGCTTTTGCAAACATTCATTTCCCTTATGGCCCTTACTAGTCTCTTAGTCTATCTTTAATAAAAAAATAAAATCAAAGTTCAAATATAAATAAAATAAAAATCAATGTGTGTTTTTTAAAGCAAATCTAATTAAAATTAGGGATGAATGTGTTATGAAATTTTAAATTGTTTAAAAAAAGTTTAAATTTTTTTCATTATTTTTTCCATACTATTACTACCCTGTCTGGTAAATGAACCCTCTATTTTTTTTAACATTAATTAACATTTGGAATAACAATAAAAAAATGGAATGGAATTTTAATTATTTCCCAAATTGTAGCTAATATGATCTTTTAACATTCTTTAGTTCTTTAATTCTAAAAATCTGAAGTATGTGCTGTCATCTTAAGCAAAAATTACTAATTATTCAAAACCACGTCCTCTCTCCCCCCACCAAAAAAAAAAACAAAACTATATGTGTGAATTACCGACTAGTGAGGGAGCTGGAGAGATCGCACAACGGGTAGGGCATTTGGCTTGCATGCAACCACCCCGGGTTTGATTCCCAGCATCCCATATGGTCCCCTGAGCACAGCCTGGAGTAACTCCTGCGTGCAGAGCCAGGAGTAAGAAGTAACCCCTGTGCACTGACGGGTGTGACCGAAAGGAAGGGAAGAAAGGAGGAAGGGAGGGAGGGAGGGAGGGGCCGGGAAGGGAAGAAAGCAGAGTTGAGAGGGGAAAAAAAACCTGGAGGAAAGCTGTAAAAGTCAATATATTCAACCAAGCAATTTGTCAACACTAGTATTAATCAAACCAAGTGTGGTAGCAGGCATCTTAACCTTCCTTAAATTGTGGAAGGTATGTTTCTTGTACTGCATGGAGTATTTTCTATCTCGTTCTCCTTTCTTCCCTCCCTTTCTTCTTCCCTCCTTTCTGTCTCTCTCCTTCCTTCTCTCTGCCTCCCTACCTCCCTTCCTCTTAGTCTTGTGATCATATCAAGGGCCGTACCGATGTAAGGCATATTTCTGTTTATGAGTTGCCACATTCCTGACCTCTCAGAATTGTCCTTTTTCCTCTGCTTGCCCTTTTTCTTCAATTCTTCCCCCACCCCCAGCCCCCGCCAGATACTGAATCAAAGTCTCATACACACAAGGTATACGTGTAAGTATTATACCAAAGAGTCAAATCCCTTGTTTCTTTAAAGACAAGTTAACCCAGGTTCTTTTTTGGTAAGATACAGTATTTTACCATTAAATAGCATTTCCTATGAACAGAGTCTAATGTTTTATACAGATGAGCAATGATACACCTGCAAGGTATCAGGTCATTAAATTAAAAATAAAAAACAATTTCTGGACTGGAAAAAGTTTTTTTTTATGTTGCCAGTGAGGAGTGAAGAGAACAACTAGAATGCAAATAATTCCAATTAACAACTTCAACAGCAACAGCAAGCTGGATTGCAGGACGTATCACTTTGATTATAAATTTTAAATCAGTATTTAGAGAGATGACATTTTTTAAACATGAAGACATCTGAATCAGAAATGAAGTCTATTAATGTAATCAGTATGTGAGAAACAATTTTATCTTCTCCCAACTGCTTCCCTTTTCTTATATATTTTTTGTGTTTGTGCCATTGAGGAAGCCGGGGAGCTTGATTTGTGTACTTTAGAGTAGGGCAGAGCAAGTATTTTGGAAAGAGAGTTGTCTTTTCATTGGATTGCTCAGGTATCTTAAGTAAAAAGTAACAAAATATATCTAGGCAAAAACAATTTCATTATTCTAAAACATAAGAAAGATTTTATGTTTTTAAGAAGGTCTATGTTATAGAAAAATCTATGTAAATAGCAAATTTAACAAAGATTTCTAAAAGCCAGGACACTTTCCAAAGAAATAGTAGTCTAGATCAGTGTTTCTCTACTTTGGGTCCCTGGAGTGTTCCAGGATCCAGAAGGGTGGCAGCACCCTTGGGTGCAACGGGGCCAGAGAGGAGAGGAACTCTGTTCACTCAAAGAACGTAGATTTTTCAGGTGAAGAGTTGAGTGATTTTGCCCCCCACTAAAATGGGGGGTAAGGCCAAATAAGGTTGGATACCTCTGCATAAATTTTTGAAAAAAAACTTCAGAATACCATCTAACATATGTACTACACTTCATAATTTTATGCAAACACTCATACGCAAAATTACTGAATTAAAATCTAAATATTGAAATAAACTGAGAAATAAAATTCATCAAAATTTCAATTTTTAAATTCTGTGAACCTTAGAAAAAAATTAAAGATAGTTTCACTCATCGTAACTCAACTGCCAGCTGATGATGTCAAATGTTTTTTAAAGCTCAATATTACAAAATCATATTAATTTAAGTGCAATGATATAAAAGAATACATTAAGTCGTTACAGAATGTGATTTATTGAAAATCTAAAGTTCTATGACATTAATTCTTTCAGATATAATACCTTCTTGGAGTCAGCAGAAATAAAGCCCAGACCCAAGAGGAAAAAAGTGGTTTAAAAAATACACTGAAAATCTATTAAAGACAGTATAACTATACAAAACAAGACAATAAGAACCCTTACCTTTGGGCTGCTGTTTTTACTGTCTGTGCATTAGCATGTTGAAAACGTCTACCATGAACTACAGTTCCAGAACATAATGACGCATTTTGTGTGTTTTCACTGCAGAGTCAAGAAACAAAGAATAATAGGATTAGGAGAATTGCATATACATATGTAAAATCTGTGTTTATACAAAATTTTAAACACTTAAAAGAGATAAGTAAATCAATCTACAGATAAACCAATTAATTAAGTTAAATTGTCCTCTTGGGGGAGTTTCCTACTTCCTGAATTCATCTTTGCAAAAGTTTCTAATTTGTAAAAGAAGAAAAAGAACAGAAGAACAGAATAGAAATCAAGAATCCAAAATTTATGGCAGAGAAAGAGAACAGGATTCCTACTACTGCACAGTCACTGAACATCACCTGTACTGTCCCTGGAAGACCTAAAGCACCACCCGGTGTAGCCCCAAACACTAAACCAAATAAACAGAAAACCAAAAATCAATGTACTGCATTATACATTCTCCTATAAATCCTGATATACTTTTCCTTCCATTTTCCAATTCGAGGTTAGTTTTAAAATTACAAGTGCCAAAACCAGAGCTATCTATAAAGGAATATAGGGGTTAATGAACTTGCCTTGAGATGGTCAAGCAGAATTCACTTTTGAGCACTGCCCAGAATGACTCCTGAGTACAGACCCATGAGAAGCCCCTGAGCACCAAGGCCCCCCCAACCAAAATAAACATAAATAAAAAAATAAGTATTACAAGGCTCTCTTCTAAGCCAAAAGTCACGTGTCCTAAATTCTACTTCAGTCTTTGCCACTGACTATAGTTAGTTTTAGAAACTTTAGTTCCCAAAACATAAAAGATATATTAATATATTGACAAAGTAAAAATCAAATTATTTCCAATTTTATTTCTTGGAGATAAAACAACCCAATCACATCAGGAACAGTAAGTAATTCAAAAGCCAGGGAATTAGCTCTCTAAAAGAACAAGCCTGCAAAGTTTAAGAAGAGAACTCCCAGAACGACCACCAACTGGGAGCTCTTTGGCACTATTGAGGCAACATGGGAAGATGCCATCGTCGTTGACAACATTGACAAGGAATACGATTGACTGGTTCAGCACCTCCATGACTGTGTGAAAAACACCGAAAGAGAGATAGCCACAAAAAACCGCCTGTCTTCGAAAACTCTTGAGCTCATTCGCCAACTTAGCTTGGTGCAAGCCTTGGGCAACCGCAAGCGAACGTCCGAGCTCCCAAAGCAGTGCAGAGAAGCGATCAAAGAAGACCTCAAAGAGAGAAGAGCAGCAGTGCTGGCAGATGCGGCCGAAGCCGGGAAAAGCATTTACAACGCCCGCCTGTCCTTCACCAACTACAAGACCAAGATGACTGTCCTCCGTCGTCCAGGTGGATCTCTCACATCTTTCAGAAGGGCAATGGAGATTATCCATGACTTCTACTCGGATCTCTTCGATAGCCATGTTCACCTGCCCACATACCAAATTCCGCAGGATGGATGTCGTTCCCGATGTCCTCCCTTCCGAAATCCCACATGCCATTTCGTCAGTAAAGAAACGAACAGCACCCGGCCCAGACAAGGTCAGACCTGAACTCCTGAACAACCTGTCGTCAGTACTCATCAATACACTGGCTCGGCTCTTCACACGCTACCTGTCTGAATGCAAGGTTCCGTCCCAGTGGAAAACCAGCAGGACCGTACTACTGTTCAAGAAGGGAGACATCCATTGGCAACTATCGCCCGATCTGCCTATTGTCTGTCATCTACAAGTTGTTCACTCGAGTCATCCTGAATAGGATTGCCAGAACACTGGATGAAGAACAACCATGCGAGCAAGCCGGGTTCCGCAAAGGATTCAGCACCATCGACCATATCCACAAGATAACCAATCTCATTGAGGTTTCTCAGGAGTTCAAGATGCCGCTCTGTCTAATGTTCATTGATTTAAAGGTCTTTGATTCTGTTGAGACGGAAGCGGTCATTGAAGCCCTAGCCAATCAGGGCATTCAAGCCCAATACATCAGGATCCTCCGTGAGCTGTATTGCGGATTCACTACCAGGATCTCACCATTCTACAAAGAAGTGATCGTTGATGTCAAGAGAGGGGTGCGGCAGGGTGATACCATTTCACCAAAACTCTTCAGTGCCACCCTCGAGAACATCATGCGACGACTGGAATGGGAAGGAATGGGAGTGAAGATAGATGGTCGGCAACTACACCACCTCCGCTTTGCTGATGACATCGTTCTAATAACACCAAACATCAGCCAAGCGGCACAAATGCTGACTGACTTCAATGGTGAGTGTGGAAAGGTCAGATTACAGCTGAATCTCACAAAGACAATATTCATGAGAAACAGTCTTTCTCCTGACGTTCCATTCACTCTCAACAGAACGACTATCTCCAAATGCAAGAGTTATATGTACCTAGGTCGAGAAGTCAACATCACGAATGACCTGGCACCTGAGTTGCACAGGAGGAAGAGAGCGGCTTGGAATGCCTTCAAGAGCGCCAAAGAAATAGTTAAGAGGACAAAGAACCTGCCGCTCTGGGCACATCTCTTCGAATCCACTGTTCTTCCTGCATTAACATACGCCTCAGAGACCTGGGCCCTACCTAAACAGGATGAGAACGCTATTCGGGTCTCCCAAAGAGGAATCGAAAGAGCTATTCTTGAAGTATCACACTTCTCTCAAGTGAGAGAAAGAATCTGGAGTTCTGACCTCCAACGATGATCAAGAATCAGGGACGCTGATGGGCTGAACACGTAATGAGATTTGGAGACAACCGCTGGACTAGAGCCATTACTGACTGGATTCCACGGGACATCTGAAGATTGTGTGCCCGCTCACCTCTGAGATGGTCAGAATTTTTTCATCAAGACCCTGAATGATCGGTTTGAGGCTGTTCATGTTCCTAGAACGAGCAAACGCCGTTGGGCTACACTAGCACGCTACAGGGACGAATGGAGACATTACTGGCACCTGCTCGAGCAAATTGATGAGTAACGGGATGTCAAGTGTTCAAGTGATCAAAAGCACAAGACTAACAGGTCCTGGAAAGAAAATCCCTTAAGGAAAACAGTACTTCACTACAACAACCACTAAGAAAATGAGCTCTATCAAGAGGAATCAAAAGAAACACACATTTTAAGACCCTAGTCTTGATAAACATTCCCCAAAGACATGACCACTCTCAAGATTTTACTAACTGTAAGAGGCTGCAAGATAGTACCATAGGTAACAGCCATAGGTAACAGACAGTACAGTGGCCTTGCAGGTTTCAGTCCCCAGAATCCTTAAACACCTCTCAAGCTGAGAACATCTGAGTATGGGCCCAAAACAAACAAAAAAAGAACTTTACTAATTACAAGAAAGCAAAGTCATTTTATGAAATCCAAATCTCCTTAAATTTTTCTTGTGATATTTTTATCCAAAACCAATTTATCACTGAAATCAACCCTATTCCCAAAATTCAATTCAAAGAATACACTAAGCTCTCCCTATCCCTTAGCCCTACTGAAAAACTAGAAAAAAGTACAGGTTGAGTCTTCTGGCAGTAAGTTTTTGGCATCAAATCCTTTTAACTTTTCTGTAGAAATGTATAGTTGAAGCACCAATACCTCAATTTCTTATTGTTGTTCAACATGTTAAGTCCAACTGAGTTGCCTTTTAAAGATTTTGTACTGTCAGCCTTGTTTCGTCTTGTCTTCCAGGGATCATCAGAACCAGTAGTAACAATTTCAGATTGATGAATCGGCTATAAAGAGAATCCAGAAACATTAGTCAAAAACCACAATAATATAATCATCCATCAACAACTATTTGGAAGCCCACATATTTAAACTGCCCAACACACCAGTTCTGAGTGACAAGGCCACGCATCTTAGAGTAATTCTACTGTAAGAATTTTCCTCCAAGGATAACACAAGGACATAAAAGCACAGATGCTTATGATATTTTCATAAAAGTATGTCAAAAGATATTTGTGAAAATTTAAGAGGGGAAAAAAAGAGATGATAAGGGTAGAAAATCACAGGGCAGTTCTTTGATGAGAGTAAAAATAGAAACACTTTCCCTGCTTATTATGTCTTATGCTATTTATAGGACAGTTCAGTCAAATATGACATTATAATTTCAACTTGTACAACGACTCAGCCTTAGCATCAAAACTTCCATGTAAGTTTGAAATGGAACATTAGAGGAAGAACAACTGCCTCCCACGTATAAGGCCATGAATTTGATCATCAGCACCTAAAAATAAGAATCCCAGCAAGTTCCCACAGAGAACGAAATGCCTTCATACTGCATTATTGCAAATGCTAAAACAAACAGAATAAACAGGAGGTCACTTTGAGGAGATCATACATAGTATGACAACACTACTTCTTGGGTAGTTATTTTAAACAAAAAAGAATCTATATTGTTATATTCATTCCACAGGGAATTTAAAATCTACTCCCAGACTTGTAAAGATCCTGAGGTCAGAGAGAGTGAAGGGGTTAACACAAGTCTGCACTGCACAACAACCCCTATTAACACCCCAGCACCACATATGTGCCTGTGCACCTCAGTTAGAACCTCAAGAAAGAAAAGGTTCTCTGTTCTTAGAAATAATTTACCTCAAAGTAACGGTTAAAAATCAGCTTATTTTTGAAATAACAGTCTAAAACAACCATTTGTTTTTAAAAAAAAAAAAGACGCCACCCTATCCCAACTATCTGAATATGAAACAAACAATTGGCTAAAAAAAAAAAAAAAGTCATCTCCTAGGAGCTCCAGGATGTGTGGCTCAGTGGCAGAGCACCTGCCTTGCAGGGATTAATGCCCAGAATCCAATCTCCCTAACAGCTGTCGTGGTTCCCAGAACAACTTCTATCTCTGGAATACAGACAACCAAGGGTGCAAACATGGAGCACTGCAACAACAATAAAGGAAGCGAAAGGTTTAAAACTATGTCACTGTCCTCCCGACATTCATCAATTTGCTCGAGCGGGCCCAGTAACATTGTGGGCCTTATTTCTGTGTTTGGCGTATCAAATATGTCACGGGTAGCTTGCCAGGCTTTCCGAGAGGGGCGGAAGAATCGAACTCTGGTGGCCCATGTTGGCTGCGTGCAAGGAAAACGCCTTACCCACTCCCCAAGATAAATCCCCGAGAAGAGTTCAATGTGCCAGCAACATTCTTATTTTTAGGAAGTTACCTTACAAAAGGAGATAAATCAAGGATAAAGCACATACCTAGCATAGACAATGCCCTGAGTGCAATCCCCAGCACCTCATGACCACCTGAGCACTTTTTCCACCCCTGGCGGAAAATGGCAAAAAATTTGACATGCAGTTTATCATTTTCTTCACCTTGAGCCATTCTTTTTTTTTTTTACTTCTGCACTTTTTGTTGGTTTTGTTTTGTGGTCATGCCCAGCAAGCACAGGGCTAACTCCTGGCTCTGCACTCAGAGATCACTCCTGGAGGGCTTGGGAGATCACCTGGGGTCCTAGGGATTGAATCCGGATCGGCTGTATGCAAGACAAGTGCCCTAGCTATTGCTCCAATTCAACTTCCTAACTTTTTAGAGACTTTAGACACCTGTATTTCTAACAACTGCAGGTTAAGTAACATCAGTCTTCCCTCTATTCTCTGAAAACTAGGAAAGCTGAACAAAGTATACTTTTTTTAGAAAAATCTAAGGCAGCTATCAGGCAGAAAATTCAAAAATTAAGAATTAGCTCAGGAATCAGGGACCAGGGACCAGGGAGTAAGTTTGCCTTGTTTACAGTCAACCTGTGTTTGAGTCCCCAGCAATATAAGGTACCCCGAGTGCCCTGTTACCACAACAACGGCAACTAAGGAAAGGGAGAAAGTAAGAAACAGTCCAGGTTTCCCCTACTATCTCAAAGTAGAATGTTAAAAAAACGTTACTTCAATAAATAAAAAAGGACACCAAAGAAATGGAAACACACACATTTCTTGTTCATGGATCAGGAAGATTAATGCCAGCAAAATGGCAGTACTACTCAAGCACTGTACAGATTCAATGCAGCCCCTGAAAGGATACCCATGACAGTTTTTAAAGAAATATATCAAACATTCCTGAAATTCGTACGAAACCCCACCCCCACCCACCCACCATGAACAGCTAAAGCAGTTCTAAGGAAAAAGAAGATGGGAAGTATGACTTTCCCCAACTTCAAACTGTACTATAAAGCAGTAATGATTAAAACAGCATGGTATTCAAAGAGCCAAAACAAAAACAAAACAGCATGGTACTGAAATAAATACAGACCCTCAGATTGGTGGCATAGACTTGAATATCCTGAGAGAAACCCTGAGGTATAGGATCAATTTATCTTCGATAAAGGAGCAAAAAACATGAAGTGGATCAAGAAAAGTCTCTTTAATAAGGCGTGCTGGGAAAACTGGTCAGCTGCATCCAAGAAAAGTAAACTCAGACCTCTTTCTAATACCATGCACAAAAATAAAATCAAAAGAGATTAAGGACCTTGATAGCAGACCTGAACCCATAACGGACACAGAGGAAAACACAGGCAGAACTTTCCATGACACTGAAGCTAAGGGATTTTATCTTCAAGGATGAAAAACCAGTGGCCAAGAAAACGGAAGAAAGATAAACAAATGGGACTATATTAAACTGAGAGCCTTCTGCACTTCGAAGGGAACAATGACCAGAATACAAAGACAGTCCACGAATGGGAAAAAGTGTTTACCCAACATTCGTGTGATAAGGGGTTAGTATACAAGATATATAATGTACTAATAGAACTTTACAGGAAAAAAATATGCATCTCCATCAAAAAATGGGGAGAAGAGATGAACAAAAAAGTCCTCAAAGAAGAAAATCCAAATGGCCAAAAGGTCACATGAAAAAGTGCTTTATGTCATTATCAGGGAGACATAAAGCAACAATGAAATATGATCCCACGTAACGGACACTCACGCACATCCAAAAAGAACAACCAGTGCTGGTGTGGATGCAGATAAAAAGGAACTCTCTCACTGCTGGTGAGTCTGCCCATTGGCCCAATACGGAAAGCAATATGGACAGTCCTCAAAACACTGGAAACGGAGCTTCCGTAACATAGGCCAGCAATACAGCTCTTGAGAATATACCCCAGTAACCCAAAGCACAATGCAGAAAAGCCATCTGTACGCCAATTTTTTATTGTAGCAGGGTTCACAACAGCCAGAATCGGAAGCAACCCAAGTGCCCAACTCAAGAGAACAGATAAGTGAATAAAGACGTCACCATGGTACATCTATATAATAAAACACGACACAGCTGTTCAGAAAAACGTAGTCACGAAATCTGCTTATACATGGATGGACATGGAGTAGCATGCTGTGTGAAATGAGTCAAACAGAATGATGCCAGAGACAGTACAAACCCAGGACCAGGAAGAATGATCCACAGTAGGCAACTAGGGGGAAGGGAAGTGCAGTTAGGACAGAGAGGGGACCAACATGACAATGAGAGTTGGAAATGGTCACTCTGGACAAGAACTGAGTGCTGAAAGGAAGGAAAGTGGTGACAGTATTGCAAACTATAGTGCCTGAAAGGAAAATAAGAGTTTGGGGGGGGGGGGGGTTCTGCCATAGAGGCAGCTTGGGGTAGGGGTAGGGAAACTGGGAACACTGGTGGCAGGAATTCAGCCCTGGTCAAAGGATAGGTGTTGGAACACTGTATGACTGAAACTCAATCATGAACAACTTTGTAACTGTATCTCACAGCGATTCAATTAAATTTTTTGAATTTTCCTATTTGATGACATGTGGTAGTTTACTTCTGAAGTCTGGGAATGCTTAATTTTTTTTTCCATATAAGTGAATGGTAATGGCTTTCCCAGAACTCCCAAAGTTACCTACCAAACCTTATCAATTAAAAAACCGCTACTTTGGGGTAAGAGAGGAAATCAGTATGACAGCAATAGGCCCATTTCTCAAAAACACCACAATTCAGAAACCTAAGAAAATATTTAAGATGCTTTAATATACACACTTAACACACAATTTAAAAAAAAAGAACTAAACCATGCATGACATCACTGTAAGATACATCCAGAGTTCTGGAAATATCAAAACGTGAGGGGGGGGGGCGGGAGTTTCAGACTCAATATAAATAGAATTCATGTGGTTCAGTAATATTCTAAAAAAAAAAATAAAATGAAGTGGATACGAGTAAGAGAAGCTAGTTAAGGCCAGAGAGACTGCATAGGAGGTAAGGCATTCAGCTTGCATTTGGCTACAGCTGCCACAACCCTAGTTCAGATCTCTTTGACCACAGGTCACTTTTGAGCACAGATCCAGGAACACCCACTGTGCACCACCCGATGTGGCCCAAACCCCACCACAGCTGCAGTGAAAAAAAAAAAAAAGTTCAGTTTCACAATGAAAGAAATGCAAATTGAGACTATACTGAGATACTTTTCATTCACTGGCACAGATCAAAAGGTTAACATTGACAAAATACTGCATAATAGGCATTCTCAAGATACTGCTGACGCAATTGTAAATCAAGACTAACATTAGAAATGTAAAAAAAATTGACACAGCAGCTCTACTTCTAAAAATTTACCCTATACATATATGTAAAATAAACTACATAATAGGCTAATTCACTATTTATTTTAGGAAGAGAAAAGGTTCATAGCACCACAAATATCCTTCATTAAATAGGTGGTTATCAGTTTATCAGACACAAAGGAATACTATTTATGCACTAAAAAGGATACATTTTAGTTAATAGTTTATTTTTAAAAAAAACTATGTACAGGGGCCGGAGTGATAGCATAGTGGGTAGGGTGTTTGCCTTGCACGCAGCTGACCTGGGTTCGATCCCTGGCATCCTATATGGTCCCCCAAGCACCGCCAGGAGTAATTCCTGAGTGCAGAGCCAGGAATAACCCCTAAGTGTGGCTGGGTGTGACTCAAAAAGCAAAAAAAAAAAAAAAAAAAAAAAAAAAAAAAAAACCTATGTACAAAGATACAAATTGACTAAAAAGGTCACAATATGTATTTATTATATAAAGCATAAGATGCCTGTGAAAAAATAAAGAAGACAGAGGGAACAGCACTGGATATGATAGGTGATTAAAGGTCGGAGGGTAGAGTATACAATATACAGCAAAAACATAAATATCTTGTTGTCAAGTACTGGTTTTTATCACCTAAAAATTTAGAGAGCAATACTTGCCTTTTTACCCCTTGAAGTTTCAGAATCTTCATCTTCATCTACACTGAGTAGATTTGCCTCACTACATAAAAAATAAGGGTGAAAAGCTTAAGTAACAACTACATTACATATGCATCAAATTAAGAAACGTTATCTTTGCTCATCAAAATCAAAATCCTAGGAAACTTTTTCTGCAGCACTATTTTTCAGCCTTGCAGACCCAACGGTCTGCTTGGCAGCAACTTAACTTTGCACAAGTAAGATACCAGACATAGACTGTTAAGTGTCACTTTAAGAAAAAAAAAAGAATACCCTACTCATAGAAATAGACCGCTGGGCTAAAGTTTGTTGATTACTGACAAAAAAGAACATATGCTTCTCTGTCTTGGATTTGAAATGATAAGAAAAGAGAAACAAGACAGAGAGAAGAACCAGGTATTGTAGCTCAGTGATACTTAGGCCTGAGATCTCTGACTTCACCACAAAAGGAAAAAGAAAACTGGTAAGGAAATCTCAGCAAGGCTGACAAGATAGTACAGTAGTAGTTAAGACACTTGCCTTGCACACAGCTGAACCTCTGCACTGCATATGGTCCCCTGAGGCCTTCTAGGGGACCCCTGAGAGGACAGAGCCAGGATTAAATCCTTGGCACTGTTGGATGTGGTTCAAACCCTGTCCCCCCAAATCTTAATCTTTCGGCCATAGACATAGTATAATAAGGTAATGTGCTTAGTCCCCCAAACCACTACCAGAGGTCACTCCTGAGCACAGAACAAGGAACTGATGCAACACAACACAAAACAAACAGACGAAAGCATTTCTAGGGGGCTGGAGTGATAATACAGTGGGCAGGGTATTTGCCTTGCACGCAGGAAATTTGGGTTCAATTCCAGGTACCCTAGATAGTCTTCCAAGGCTACCAGGACTGACCCCTGAGCTCAGAGCCAGGAGTAAACCCTGAGCATCACCAGGCGTGGCCCCCAAATCAGAAAGAAATGGGGGAAGGGGTGAGGGGAGAGAAAAAAATGACAATATTAGCTAATAAAAATAAGTAATTCTCATGGTTTTAATCACACTAAACCTCTGTGAAAATAAACTCACTGAAAACGGTTGCTCTGATATTCTAAAAGACCTAATATAAAAAAAGTGTGTTAATCTCAACATGTTGAAAAAGGTCAAAGTCCCTAAGAATCCACATTCATGTTCCAAAGAGTGTAATTCATTAATGATACAAGACACATAATACCTCCAAAGAGAAAACTTTCACACAAGCATGTGCTTAAACAGAAGCACCAATCTAACAATGAAAGTAAAAGTACATCTCTCTGAAGATAACACTGCTACACTGATTAGTAAAATATTCGTATTTCATTATTTATACTATCCCAACATCAATGTTAAACCAACACTGCTATAGCAAATGCTCAAAAGGAGACATACTTTCTGGTCAACTTTAGATTTCAAAATTTAAAAATGACAGATTGATTGAATTCTTTACTGTCCACCTGTGATATACTTTCTCTGACTCTCCTTAATGATTTTCTACATGAGACAATTTTACTTAAAAAAAAATTACATACATATATGTATATGCAGGTACTAAATGACTAACAAAAATATACTTCATTTTAAAGTAATCAGAATTTTTTTTAAAAGACTGTAATACACTGATTTTGTGAGAAACTTACCAGTTCAAATTTCTCCTTCAAATAAACTTCAGTTCAACATCTGATACGTGAAGGTACATAAACTGGTAATGATCAGCGGAGCTAGTGCCCAGACAGAAGTGAAGCACCTACAATATTCAGCCAATATATTCTGAATGACTTCTCATATAAAATTTCTAAATGTATTTATAGTTTAGGTAGAACACAGTGTGTTTGTCTGTTTTCTTGTATTTACTCTGGCCAGTGGAAAACCAGATAAGTTAAGAAATTAAAAGCCAGGTTGAATTTGAAATACAAACCACAATATGCAAATATGTCAGAACTATTATTAAATTTTTTTACACAAGAGTCATTCCAAATACACTAACAAAGTGTAATAAACACTTTGCTTAACTTCTGTCTGGGTGGACAACTATGTTTATCTCTCTTTGGTGGGACTCTAACCTACTATTTACTGGTGGTAATTGAAACACTAGCAATAGGAGAAGAAAGATACTATGGAATGTTGTAAACTTTCATGATGTAAAACTCAGAATTTGGGAGCAAGAATACATAGCACAGCAGGTAGGGTGCTCGCCTCACACACAGCCAAGCCAAATCCGACCCCTGGCATCCCATATGATCTCTAAACTAATCAGGAATAAACCCTAAGCACCACTGGGGGTAACCACAACCCCCACCCACCCCTATCCTCCATCCGCCATCCACCATCTTTCCCCCACCCCCTACCGCAAGTGAAATCTTGATCTAGACTCACTTAATTCAGGATAAATAGTGGTTCTTCAAAAATCACTGTCTCGATAGACTGGGGGAGGGGCGGGGGGTGCAGATCCTCATCTGGCAATGCTCAGGGATTACTTCTAGCTCTGCACTCCTGGCAGTGCTTGAGGGACCAAATGGGATTCCAGGAAACGAACCTGGGTCAGCAGCATGCAAGGCAAACACCCAACCTCCTGTACTATCACTCCAGCCCAGGATTTTTTGTTTCATAGTAGAACTTCTTTAATTGTAGTTTGGCTGATTTTCAATCTAAAGTTGCATGTATTACATGTACACATTACACATTTCAAAGTTGAAATAACAGTGAAATCATTTAGCAATATAAAGAATTGCTATTTCTGTTCTCAATACTAATCTTTTCTGAGTGCAGTACCTTAAGTATATACTTTAAAAAAACTATTTCCATTAACTATAAACTGTCCTGAGAAAATCTTCACTCTCATAATTGAAGGGAAAAAATATCTTACTCTTTTTCTGTATCTCCTTCACTTTCTTCTCCATGATCAAAGCTCCAATTATTTTTAAAACCTCCATCTCTCTTAGACTCTGATCTAGACAAAGCTGAAATAAAAACAAACTGAGATGAGTATTTTTAATAAACTTTAAGATAAAACAAAAATCGAAACTGCACAGGCTCTGCTTGCTCTAGATTGCCTTTTGACTATTAGAAAACATCTTGCTTCCTTTGAAGCAAATGGGAATTAAATTAAAATCTCAATTGAGGGGGTATGGTGTCCCCAGCAGGTCAATCTATACCTGTGAGGCAAGTGCATCAGCAGCCTCATGGTGCCTTCAGGCTTCCAGATACCCCAAAATTGCTGCTATGCCTTTGGCCAGACCCCAAAAATTTGGGGCAAAGTTTACCAAGAAAGTAAACGGCCAAAAGTCAGGCATGTGGGAGACACACCCACAAACCACCTCCGGCTCAGCTATATAATTGGAGGCATGGCCTCTCTGGTTCCTGATTGAACTGCTTAATGGCAACGATCCCAGAGACTCAGAAACGAATCTCGGCTTTTGGCAGAAATGCGTCCTGTTCCTGCAGTAGGTTACTGGCGCTGGGCCACTCCAGGTGGGAACAGGTTTTGTGCCTTGGCCTGTTCCCCTTGGCGGCCCGGTGACCACCATCCTCCGGAGGCCACTGGACAGTCAGGTTTGGGCCTGCAGTGAAGAGACACGCAGGTCCTCACCAGATGGGGGTGAAACCAACCCTTTCCTTTCCATCCCAGCGAGAGCCCAATTTGCCGCCTACAACGGCCTCTCTGGCTCCTGATCAAGCTGATTGATGGCCATGATCCCAGAGACTCAGAAACAAATATCGAAACCCAGCGACTCTTGGCAGAAATGTATCTGGATTGCATACATGGCCATGGCTCCAGAGGCAAAAGGACTTAATCCAAAGCCCAAAAGCCTGCAGCAGAAAAGTGAATGGGCCATGCATTAAAGCCTCCCCAGGAGGGAAAGGGTGTTGCTCCCTTCCGCCCCCCCCCCCCCCCCACCTCCTGCAGCAAGGTGGCTGCCACCTCAGAGCTTATAGGAAAGCCAGGTATAAGCCAGCGGTGACTGGGCAATTGCAGTCTCATGGGAAGGGGGGGGGGGGGGGGGCGGTACCGGCTCATCCTTCACGCCCTACGGAGGTCACAAATTGGCCCCCACAAGCAGCTCTCTGGCACAACCATAACATCAGATGCACAGAAACCAATCTCTAAATTATCTGGATCTTTGCAGAAATCCAAAATTGCGTGGCCACAATAGCAGCCACACAACATTGTATGATTCTCATAACCAGCTATAGAAAACAAAGCATTTCACAATGGCTTTTCAGCAATTCTGACTGTTGGGGGGAAATTCTGAACAATAATGGTGCATCTTTTGTCGAAATAATGAATGTAATCAATGTAGAGAAGAGTGAAGTGGAAATCATCTGCCTCACAGGCATTGGGAGGGGTGGGAGGGGGTGTATTGGGGTTCTTGGTGGTGAAGAATGAGTACTGGTGAAGGGAAAGGGGTTTGATCATTGTATGACCGAGACTTAAACCTGAAAGTTTTGTAACTTTTCCCACAGTGATTCAATAAATAAATATAAGAAGAAAAATAAATAAATGAAATTATGGGGGGGGGGGGAAGGAGAAACCTGGAAAATCCTATCTTAAGTGATCAAAGTTAATTTACCAGTAAGACAACAGGAGATCATGGCATTCCTTATAAAAAAAAAAAAAACAATAGTCTGAACCTAATTACAAGGTAATGTCATTAGAGAAACCCAAATCAAAAAGTAACTTTCCAGTAATCTTCAAAATATATGGAGGTAAAAGCAGAAAAAAGCTAAAGATCATGACTAGGAAAAACAAGCTCCGATCAGATCTTGATCCAGAATTTTTTAAGTTTAAGGTCTAATTTGAGATTATTTATAAAGGCCTTTTGCAAAATTGAAAATGATAATTAGGTAGCACTATTCTATCAATGTTGATTTTCTTAATTTGATGATTTTTCTATACGATTTTAGATAGTATGTACAGTTTCTCAAAAAAAGAAGTTAGACAATGGAGTATTTAGGAATAAATGGGGAGCTTGCCTAAATTTTGCTTTTAAATCTGGCCTGGACAAAATAAGGGTGTGTGTTAAGTGCATACAGAAAAATGAGGAAGAGAGAATGATTTTTTCATACGGTATATGTCAACATCTAGAGAAATAACTGATGAATACAATGAGAATTTATTGTGCTAATATTATTTATAACCATGTAAGATGTAAAACTATTTGAAAGTAAAAAAATTTAAATGTCAAAGATCCACAGTTTATTAGAGAAAAACCTCATGAACCAAAAACTATTGTAAGAAGTAGTGCTGACTTAGAAGAAACTAATCACTTGAAGTTCAGTGTAAACAAGTGATTGAGTTTTAACTCGCAGACTCATAACTCTCACCAAGTCATAACAAGGGGTCCCACGCTTATGTGACTTTTACCAATCCAGAAGCAGAACTGGGTCCATTCTGATATGTACCAGAGCACTCTCTTCATAACAAGACCTGCTATCAAGGAAAATAAGTTACCTAGCCTAACCTATGGATGTTTTATCAAATCCTAACCGATCAAGAGTAAGTAAAACATCTAACCCCAGATGTTTCTAGCATTTCTTATGTGAGAAAAAATACAGACCTGACACGGGTCCACTCTAGCTTTCATGTCCCACAGAAAGGACAAACACAAGTTCAGAGGCATAAGAATTCTCTAAGAGGCTGTGCCAAATCATAGCACTATGAAGCACTTCCCTTTAATTCACAGCAATATTACAGTAGTAAAACCTTATATACATTATGTCAAACGACAAGGAAAAAAATTTGAATTCGTAATAAGGATTTTACAGTGCAATCTGTGAAGTGTGCAAGCATAAGAACCAGACATGGCACGGATGCTGGAAATCATTTGAAAGGGAATTTAAAACAACTGTAATTACTCCTGAGGTCTGTAGTGGATAAAACAGACAGCATTCAAGAAAAGACGAGCAAACATAGAAGTCCCAAGGGCCAAAGATAAATTCCAGAAATCAAAAACGCCAGAGCAGAAATGAAGAATGCCTTTGATAAGCTTGTTTGACTGAACATACCTGAGGAAAGAATCTGAGCTTTAGTTACAGAAACCTCCAAAACTTGATCAGCAAAGAGAACAAAGACTGGAAAAAAAAATTCCAATAACTTGGAGCAACTTAAAAAGGTGTAAAAAATATTAGAAGAATGAAAGGAGGGGGGGGTCACAAAAGAAATACTTGAAACAGAAAATACCTAATTGATCATTTTTCCCCAAATCAAAGTCATACACCAAACCATAGATTTAGCAAGCCTAGATAACACTCAACAAAACCAATCTACAAACACATTATAAGGCTCAGGGCTGAATAAGTGGTGGAGTATCTGTGTTGCAGCCACAAAGCTATAAATTTGATCCCTGGCTCCACCATAAATGCCCAAGTGTGGACCAGGAAGTACAAATTGTGCTATTTAGGATTCTCAGCACTACAACAAAGTATGCAATCTCCAGCACAATGCAACGTGGCATTGCTGAGACTGAGAAATTCAGTGAAGTCAAAATTGAAGAGAGAAACTTAGGGGGAGGGGGAATCCACTTTTCTTAGAAGAAAACAAGTGAATAAGAAAAGCAGTCAAATTGTTTTGAGGCCAGGTGCCACACCAATCTGTTGAGTAACAGCCAATATTACCGTCTCTGAAAGTAATGTGGCTGGATCAGATGTAAATGACTGTGCTCCCCCTTATCATGTCACAGTATCAAAAATCCCTATAAGGAAGGCTATCCTTAACTCTCCCACCACCAGTCTGACTGCCAGGGAGGGGAAAGGAGGTGTATCGGTTCAGAAGTAGGCGAGGTGGAATGACAGTAAAATCTATAGTAAACACCAACCTAGTCCAAAGCACCCTACTGTGGGCTGTGAACTGCAGTTTAACTGTAGCCACGGCGGTACAGGGTAGTAAATAATTTTAATTCTTGGAATATACAATAGGGGGCTAATCCCAAGCATCACATAGGGGCCCCTCTAGTACCTCCAGGAGTGATTCCAGAGCAGAGCCAGAGGGCTCTGGTTCCAAAACAAAAAACTGTAAACATATAAAATGCACAATTTTAAAATTTCAAAAGGGGGGTAGGGACAGGAAAAAGAAAGGAGGACCAGGTTTGAAAAGACAGTACTGGAGTTAAAGTGCTTGCCTTGCACTTGGACAACCAGGGTTTGATCCTCTACATATATGGTACCCCGAGCACTGCTAGAAGCGATCCTTGAGGACAGAGCCAGCGGGAGAGTATGTGTACTCCAAAAGAAACAAAATCAATGGAGAAAAAAATGTGCGAAATAAAAAATAGTAACAAATATGATCCACTGGGCCCAACAGGTATACAAGGATAAGGTTTACAACAGAGCCTTGCCTGGCATCACATTAAGTCCTGGATTACCACTGGGTAATCCCTGTGAACAGAACAGCCCTAAGTACACCTGGGTATGGCCCACCCCCATATGGTCTATTAACTCTACCTATATCAATAATCACTCAATATACAGCAAGTCAAAATGCATAAATTAAGGTATTTATTAATTGCTTACTAGTGATCAAAAAGGAAAATACAACTGTGTGCTATCTCTAAGAAGCCTACTTTTAATTAAAAGACACTGGAGCCAGAGAGGCAGTACATAGGGTAAAGTACCTGCCTTGCGTGCAGCTGACCTGGGCTCAATTCCCAGCACCCTATATGGTCCCAATCCAACTATGTTCAGAGTGACCTCTGAACATACAGTCTGAGTAAGTCCCAAAATCCATAGGTGTATGGGTGTAGCTCCCCAACCCCAACTCACCCTGAAAAGAGACAGATTAAAAGTAAAGGGTAGGGCAGATAATCTGGCTCAAGTGGTAGTGTACATGACTAGTACATGCATGGCCCTGAGTTTAATCCCTGGTTCTGCAAGATGTCCCACACATCGCCAGGCAAGAGCACTACTGCTGGGAGTGGTCCCAACTCCATACTCAGCCCTACTGGGTAAGGTCCCACTGAAAAAC